GGTTAAGTCAAGGTTTGCTTGCAGGAAATGATAGCTAACATAGCCTCCTCACACCGTTCACTGCGTGAACAGAGCCACCGCACGGTTCAAGAGAAAGAAAACGACTTAGAGGTGGACGCAATATATGAAGTTGCTATATTGGTTTCAAGTAAAAATACAGAGTACATGACGCGCGGCACTTACCGGTAAGACGGACGACGAGCGAGGATGCCTCGAGCTTTCTGTGAAGAGCCTATGCTGTCTGAGGAGTCCTGAGAGTCTTCACTCTCAGACAAAGATACCTAAAAGACACAGTCCAGGTGGTTACCTGCTACACTTCAGCAGAAACACCCCGAAGAGATTACACACCCTAATCGCGTGTGAGCTAAAGCTGCAAGAAACCTGCCCAAACGCAAGAAAGAAACCCTCAAGAGATTCCCCCAAACTATTTATGACATTAAAAGGTGAAAAACGTCCACTACCTGGAGCTCGCTGTTCTAGCGGGATTCGCAGCGGGGTTAATCAATAGGGAGCTTTTACAACAGCAGTGTGAGGAAATACAAGTGGCTGATTATTTCCATAAAGCTCTCACAAGCCTCTCTCCAGGGCTGATGTGGCCTGAAGAGGTGAGCCACTCCCACACGTGGCTGGCGAAGGAGGTGGTGGGAAAGCAAACAGCAACACCATTTGTGTCCAGAGACAAACATAAAATGCTGGAAATCCTTCATCTAGCCAGGAGAGCAGCGGGTTTGGGGGCAGAAGAGTCAAATGAAAGTCACATTTAAGGCAGCAGCGTATCAGGGAGTAACCACGCAGAGTATTATCTATCCTTTTCTCTTCATTCCAGGGCATCCTCATCCTCTTGGCAAGTGTTTTTTTTCTCCCTGATGCTCCTTATTCCAGACAAGCCAACAAACCATTGATTTGTGCTTATCTGTGTGCCAGCAACAACAAGTCAAGAGGAATGCACACAGCTCTGGGAAAGGCATTTCTCAGAGCAACCTACTATCGACGTTTAAAAAAAGGCTGCTCAAGTATTTATTACTTTTTTACTCCTTTGAGCAACAAGGCCACAATGTTCATAAATGACAGAAAAAAAAAAAAGGAAAGAGTAGAGTCAGTGGGGACCCTGCAACTAGAACACGATGATGGGAAAGGGATTAATGGAGACCCGGGTAATGACAACCTACTAAACCAGATGCTTAATTGTTTTCAGTGAAATGAAACGTGTTTTCTTTTCCACGACCTGATGTTACAGGAACAACGACAGCTGAGGATGCGTTACAGGTTCACTCTTCGTGGTTTACCAATTTAATGTCGTAGGAATAGATAAGCAGGCTGCAAAGGATCGCTGACAAATTCGCGCGTTTCAGCCCAGTCCCTCCAGCCGCCCGGCCGAGCAGCGCAGCTGCTGCAGCGTCACTCCAACGCTGTGCCGCCCCGAGGGCTCTCTGCAGCCAAGAACCGAGCGAAGTGGGACCAGACTCGACTGTAACTCCCCAAGGCACCCACCTCTCTGAAGTGGCTTGTACAAAAATCACATGGCAAATGAGTAAGAGACACAAGCAGAGCACTTGGGTACCACAGAAACGGGGTTACAGCGTAGAGGAGGTGAGCGATCACCAGTTCATCCCCCGCCTCCCTTGTCCAAACAAACAGTTTCCTTCGCCAGGTTATTCTACACCCTCCTTACTTGGGTATTAAAACACACTGGCTGCACGTCTGTTACAAGCACCAGCGAAAGAGTCGTGGTTTGGTTTGGGTTGGGTTTTTTATAAAGGCAGGCAAGGTCAAACAGTTTCATTTCAACTCCAAAGGCAGCTTTAGCGCTACAAATACTTTCAAGCCCAAAGAATCATTAAGAACAACGTATCCCCAGAACACAGGCACCGGACTGCTCGCCATCTCCTACAGCAGGGCCACAAAGGCTGTGCTGGGGCAGGGCGAGCTGAGCCAGGCAAGCCTTTCCGAGTCGTTTTGCACACGTAAAACACGATTCTTGGTCATTTAACAGCAATTCTGTAGTTACCTGCACTGTTTGCACCTGAGGCGAGTGGATTACAGAAGAGGACTGAGCTGTCTGAATGACTCCCTGGACCTGGACTTGTTCTCCAGGAAGCTGAACAACTGTCAGGGGAGCAGGACCTCTTAGAGACATCTACAACAAACCAAAGAATCATTAACAAAAGCGTCTGTTCCGCGGTATTCAGAAAGTGTGTGCACAGGTAGGCAAATCAGCGGAGAACATGCATCAGCAGAAGCTTCCTTGGAGCCTGATGAAGTCGCAGCAGGTATCCTCTACAGCTGCACATTTTGGAGGTAGTTATCAAGGCTCAGACAGTCACTGATTTGCCTTAGGTTGGGGGAAATCCAGGGCGTAGCGTTATGGGCAGATTAAATGCTGCGACTTAAACACATGCAGCTCTGAACGAGCAGATTTTTTCCAAATAAAAATTACGGCATCTGTTCTTTAATGGTTTTAAATGATCAGTTTCAATAAATGTTGTAGCTGGAATCTAGGTTTGATTGGCAAAAAGTTAATTACTACTGCTGCTCCTACACAGGATACTTCTTATATTCTAAGAGCTTTGGATTTTTGATGTCAGACTCGCACAAGCCTTTGCACTGAAAAATTGATTGAAGTTACACATGTAGGCGCGTAAGTAAATACCCGGTTTCCTCACCGAATTTCTTCACTACTTTTGTTAATCTGGAATATATGAAAAGATGAAGGGACCATTAAAACTCCTACAGCTAACTTGTCATTTAATACTACTTCCGTATCGTACAGCGTAATATTAAGCGACATTAGTTTTATATAAAACCAGATCAGACAAGCAGCCTGCCAACAAACGACAGGCCGCTCGCTGGTATCCCACCCTGTCTTCGCCTCATGCAGTTATCTGAATTCTGCATCAAAACCTAACAGCCTCCGCGGGGTGAACAGCGGACGAGCTGCAGCACTTTGCCGTTGCCCAGCACGGCTGCGGGAGCAGCCTCCGCCCGGAGAGGGAGGCGCTCGCAGATGCGGAAAGTTGAATCATGAGGGATTCGGCTTAAAGCTCTGAAAGTGATGTTGCCTTGTAGTAAATACATCAAATTTGCAATTTCGTATCATTTATTGCATTAAGTACATTCATGTTGGGCTAAAATCCAAGGGTTTCCACGGTGCTGAGCACCCAGGATTGCCTTTACTGCACAAGGAGCTGTAAATGCTTTTTCTGAAAAAACCAAACCCACCCCCGAAGATGAGGCCCGGGATCCATTGCTAAGCAGCTCCCGTACGTCAGGCTGACGGCGACTTCGGAGGACGTGCAACCTAACGAAACGCTGGGCTGCATTTCTGCCTTGTACGAGCACGAAAATTAGTGTTGGGTCTTTTGAATACAAGCCATTTTATTACTTTTGTGTCATCCATCAACAAACAAGTACATTTTTATCAACCTTCTTTTGTTTTCTCTTCTCTGTGTGTTTCTAAAACTTGAGAATTAATATAGTTTGTGGTACATAAAAAATGGCTCTTAACTACCTCAAATGTTTGCTGAGATTTGGCCCAGGCTTTACCTGTTGAGCAATATGAGAGAGCTGAGCTGCCTGTAGTGTTGTACCTTGTACAGCTGACGTTTGTGAAGGCGTCACTGAACTGTTACTGCCGCTCTTGTGCACCTCTTCCATAATCAGCTACAAGAAAAGTAACGAGTTAAATTCAGTTAATGATAAATTGGAACAGCAGACAGGTGCCCAGCTTCCACTGACACGCTACAGAACCTCCGTGCACGATGCTTTTAGTCCTCTCTGGACATTTTTCATCAGTTCTTTGTCCTTCGATGTCACTTTGTTACAGAACAGCGCAGCGTTTCCCGTCATTTCCCCTACAATGCCCCGAGCATTGTTGTGCCGTCTCACGGGGACAAGGGGGGGACGACACGGCGGGAGCCTTCCCACGGGCTCGCCCCGTCTCGGGAGACCAGTCCCCTTTCGCCCTGGCCACCCTCAGCCCTGGCTCCGACCTACCCCGCGCCGCGCGTGCCGTCAAGCGCCTGTACGGCCTTCCCTGGCTTCGCCTGGGAATGTAAACAAGGCAAGTCATGGGGGCTCGGAAGAAAGCCGAGATGAAGCATTTACACTACAGAAGATCTGCTCCAAGTAAAATAATCTTCCAAAATATTTTACCCAAGCTACCAGCCAAACCTATTTTAAAACATCTGAAGGTGTAGAAAAGCAAAACAGGGATTCAAACCCAAAGCAGCGAGAACAGTTTTGAATTTTAAACCCTGCAAAAGTCACTCCGTCTCCACGTCACACAGTCAGTAACACTTCCCTCATTTCTAAGATTTTACATGCAACTGCTCGGCGTGCCTTGACAGCATCCCCCCTCCAATATTGGGGGATTCAGTGATGTAGAAATGCATGCTTTTAGGTGGGGTGAGTGGGTGGACCAGCCTAGAGCATTAAGAGATGATCGGTGACTGTTAAACATTTTGTCACAGAAGGTTTGAAACTGTTGAAAGGACAGTTGCTATGAGACTGGAAATTACATTTCTTTCTGTGGAAACGTGAGTCATTGATTTTTCCCTACTGAGATAAACCGCAGCTCTTGCAGCCTGACGTATACTTAGAGGGTAAAAAGTCAACGTACACCAAGACCAGAATCTCGTTCTCGCAATCCTTACTCATCCGAGGAGCCCCGCTGCAGAACTCCCCAAATAAGTTACTAAAACGGGACTCTGCGGAGAGAAAACTGATGGCTGGGTGACACGCAGAACCGAAGCCCTTACAGCGCCCAACACACGTTCCCAGCACACGGCCCAGCTTCCCGACACCCTCATTCCTGTAACCCTAAAACAATTCATCCCCAGTCGGAGCTGAAGCAGCAGAACGAAGGCTCCACTCTGGAACACAAAGCTCGCAGGAGCCTGGCAGTGCTCCGGCTGTTCCCAGCTTCTGGAAACCTTCAGCTAATCCAAACTCTCCCGCCCGCCTTTGCTGAGATTATCAGGTCGCCGCTGCTGCGAGGGCACAGGGCTTCCCCCTCCGCAGGGCCGGGAGCGAGCGCCGGAGCCCAACGGGACCCAGCCCCGGGGCCGGAGCGGAGCGAGGCAATTCTCACATCTTCTTTTCCAGCCCCTGCGCTGCAGAGCTCGCCCCGAAGTCGGAAAGACTGGTTTGGCTTTTTTCTTTTTTGTTAAGGGAGAAAATTGGGAACTGAAGTAATTTAAGTATCTTGAAGCTATAAAAAATGAAGGGCGGCATTAACGACAAGCACGTCTAACGGCTGCAGCTCTGTACACCCTCTGATGTACTTTTAGCTTTTTACAGAGGAAAGCCTGCATTCCGTACCCCTGCACAGGGAGACATACCGTGTCACAAGTAAACAGGGCACTGTCAAACTGAAATCCAGTCAACAGCAGAAATTAAAATAAATTTCCAGTGCTACAGAAATGTCAATTCATTTCTGTAGTGCTAAACCACATTCTCTCTCCCCCTCGCTCTTTTACTGGTTTTCTCTGCCTTATTGTCCTGTGGAAGACTCACAACCAGCAGCAAAATAGACGGTGAGAAACAGCGAAACCAACAGACACAAAACCACCCAGAATAAACAAACTGGGGAGAAAGCACAAAGGTTTTTGCTGATGTTTCTCTCACAGGTGTGAAGTCCTACTTACAGGAATAACAGACACAGTATTTCCCATTATAAACACGATGTTTCAAGCTTACTTCACCCCTGCTTGCTCTGCAACATTTAACTAAATATTCATCCAACATCTCTGAATCTTAGCAAAACAGCATTGATGCGAAAGGGTGCAGCAAGTGATGTAACAAGGTGAAGATCAGCACCGCACCTCGCGCCCTCCCCCGGCTCAGGGAGGTGCGATACGCCATTTGGCCTTGCAGGACTGTCACACAAGCCAACTCCCGTGCCTCTATCTTGTTAAAACAACTTATTTAGCTGGAAAACCACAAATTTTCCATTGGGATGGCCCTCTGCGAACACCTGAAGCAGCAATTACCATCTCTCAGCTTGCAGAAAGACAGTTCCAATGAAAAACCACACCTGCAAGTTCTCAGCTGAGAAAAGGAGTTCCCAAGACTGAAAACATATCAGGGTTTCAGCTTAGAACTGCTCCCAACCACAGAATTTATGTTTAGCTGAAACCAGCTGCATAGTCTGGGGTGAAGGAAGAGTTTTACCTGTCTCTGACAGGACGGCCTTCATAAAAGCGACATCCGATGTTTTAGTAACCCAAAAATCTGCAGGAAACCCGTGTTTTCATCATCAGCCAGGTAAGGATGATCTTTCCAGAGTACAACCAACGCCTGCACGCAGCTACAGCTCAGAAATAGTTTAATTTAAAGGACAGGATTCTGCACCAGCAGCGCTACGAAGTTTGTTTTGGAGGACTCTCAAACTTCTGAGAACGGGCGTGCTCCGGCCAGAGGAACTCGCCTCCCTTCAAACGTGAGTTTGAGCCTCAAATGCTCCTTCCTTTTAAACAGAAATAGGAACGTGGTGTTTCATCAGGGGCAAGTTTAATTCATCACCTGGAAGCTCACATATACCCTCCCAAGACCACGCTCCTCAGTTTGAACCACCACTCAAAACCTGCTAAAAAACCCCAACCCCTAATGACTGAGGGGCATCAATTAAAAAAGAACAAATAAATAAACAAGAAACCCCACTCCCTCAACTGTCACTAAACCTGATGAAAAATACCCTGAAATGCTGAAGAGACGGTCCCCTCACAGACACGCTGCGCCTGTGCGGAACGGACCTTCCCAAGGTTTTACCCTGAACAAAAAAAACTTCACCTCAGTGTCCCAGCACAGCGCACCGCTCCCCTCCTTACTGGCTTGGCTTTGCCTGTTCACAACACAAGTTACCCGAGACAGTGCTTGTCTCTGGTTAAATGCTCATAAAACGACTAAAATCACAATTCCCAGCCCCAGATGAAGCCTCAAAGCATGATCAGGAGGCAAAGAGTGAGAAAATGGAATACAAAAGCTGAATGTTAAGGCAGGGAAAGGTGAGCTGGAGTGTGGGAGCACCAAAGGAAGAAACCAAGTTCTGTTTTGCTCTTTTACATCTAGCAGAGGAAAGGCCTGAATGATGCACTGAAACATTGTAAGAGGCGCCTGATTTTTTTTTAAAAGACTTCATAAAGTCAGAAATCAGAGAACACCAAGTGATAAGAGTCAAATACCAACACGTACAAATTATAGAAGGTGAATTAAAACATTTGGGAAAATCATACTCAAGTAATCTGGTGAAATTTTGGATTCTTTAATGTCTCAAAATGCGCTGTCTTCACCAGCTACAGCAGCTAAAATACTATTTACTTAATTTTGCAACTAAGACACTTGGGGAAAGTTTCTTCATCCAGAAGACACTGACAAACTCCAGTTTTTTCCAGGAATCAGCGAAAGACAGAGGCAAAGCGCAGCACATCCCACCAGTTCACGCCAGAAAGCAAGTGAGGAGACTTGAGTCAATGTACCCAGCTACAGTTTTGGATCCCATTCTACAGACACGCACAAGAACACTCCTTAAAACTTCAGGAGTACTTTCCGTACGTGTTTTCTTCCACTCACCCCCCGCCCCGGCCTTCTACAGTGAAGCGAAGCTCAGCGAGCGCTCCCATGTCAAGCAGCTTCAGAACCAAAAGCCTGTGGTCTAAACCCGCGTGTGTTACACTGACATAAAGGATCCTGATATTTGTGAGAGGAAAATATCAGAGAGATCGTTTACAAGTTGCATCCAGCCGACTCGAATCGACCCGATGCTCGTTGCCTTAAGTGCTGGAAGAGAGGCTCAAAAAAACGGTACTGGGGCAAGATTAATGGAAAAAAAGGTCATCACCGCCATCAGTGGAGCCTCGCTCTATTTTTCAAGGGTCTCTGGGAAGGAGACCACCGCTGCCCTTCTACCCACAGCCCAGTCACACCGGGCTGAAGTCGCTCCCGAGAG